ATATTTTGACTATCGCCCAAATATGCCGTATAAAATAGTTGTATAAACGTTTATGCAACAGTTCAAAATTTGTCCTATAAGGTGTTGTATAGCTATGTTGTAGGAATATTTTAAACACCTCATTTTAGAACAAATATGCTGCAGAAAGCAAATTTGCATTCCACGCAACATTAAGCCAGCATTTTGATGTTCAGGCAACAACAATAGAGAGCTTTTACGGCTGAATGGTTCTTTTACCAGAAGCTTATTATAGCAGTACTTTGCTAGTTGGATAACCTGTCTTCAGACAGGACAACATATAAATAATCGGTCGGGCACAGCTAATAGATATAATTCATTGGCAGCATATTCAGTAATGATTTTTTTACACATCAAATATCAGTGATTTTATACACATGCAGACCAATACACATAATCATCCAGATGCGATCTTGCTATTAACTTTCTTCTCAGATATAAAAGCTACAGACACACACCACTCGGCCTCACAAAACATACGCAACCAACAATGCGTGTAGTTTAGTTAAGTGATTCCTCCATAGATGGACGTTCATAACGATCCTAGTGAGCAAACGTGGAATGACTGTTTGCGTCCTAAAAACTACCTAGTCTGCAAGATGACATCTTATAGGTTTTTTTACGTTTTATAGATTTTTTACATTATATTGCTGCGGCGGGTCGGCATCCGTATAACGTAGCCTAAAAAGTGACATTAAATCAATTTCTTATGACATGTAGTTTTTTTACCTTATGTAGCTTTTTCTATAAAATATCACCTTTGAATTAGCTGACATTCACTTCATGCTGACTTGTTGTAGGGGCGGAATGAGCTACCTAGTGCACAAGTAGACATTTTGCCGATTTTATTGACATTAAGGTTTTTAGTCAAATTCGATGCATGTGCATCATCACCGTTCCCTTTAAATCAGAACACATGTTTTCCATCAGTTGATGGAATTAAATCATTAAAAGAAAAGAAAAACTGTTTTCGGTACTAGAATGTTGGGTACCCAAAATACTGTTAGTTCTGTTCATCACCGCTTCCTTTAAATCAGAACACATGTTTTCCATCAGTTGATGGAATTAAATCATTAAAAGAAAAGAAAAACTGTTTTCGGTACTAGAATGTTGGGTTCCCAAAATACTGTTAGTTCTGTTATCAACACTGCAAAACGTTGGTGAAGCCAAGTTGACTTTTTACGTTGACAAGATTTACGTTACTCCTAGCTAACTTTTAATTTCATCAACATCGGTCAATAGTGCCTGGGACATGTGATTGCAGGTATATCGTGTTTAAATTAAACACCTTGTATTGTGTGAATCCTGAACTTTTTTATGTTCAGATATGAAAAGGTCTTGGTCCATACTATGTCCATCAATCCCCTCGGAATGACCTGTATATACCCTATTTCACGAGTATCCATCAAGCTTTGACTTCTACTGAGGTGAACAGCTGATCAGCTAGTGACATTTTTGTATTAGTCTGCGACATTGGCAATAATGAATCGGGTATAAATCTAGGAGAACTTGTTTTTAGCGTTTTGTATTGTGTATGCAAATGAACTTTTCTAAATAAAAGAACTGTTAGCAAGTACTAAATGAATCTGTAGCGTACAAAAAACCAAAACCAAATGTGACTCAGACTACCTGACAGGACATAATCTGTGCCGATATGGGGTATTTTGAAATATTACTAGATAACCAGCTGTCATTCTACCGTAATGGATACCCGTGAAATAGGGTTTACCTGTCGGGTATATTCCGAACCTGTAATTTTTAGCTATTATTTCAGATTCAACGGGAAATACATTTTCCTCGATATTTACTAAAGATTTTAACTATGTTATAAAGCAAAACCTGGAATCGATTGTGTTTATACGCTCGTGGCTGGCCATAGAAACGAAATTTGGGAGTTGCGTATCATGGATGAATTTACATTTTTTGACATATTCACTTGCTTTGACGTACGTCCAGTTTGACCGGACGTACAACTTTCGATTTTTAAAAGAGACACCATACATGTTCTTACTTATTGATCGATAGTGACATTCTGAACTGAACAACGCTTCACTTGTCAATATTTGACAAATAATGTCATTTTTATTTCGATTTAGATTCGGTCTAGAATGTCATGGATCCTGTAAATCGCTTCATCTTTGAACAAGTAATACAGGAAAAATGCGATTTTGATGCGAAGACGAACGACCTTACTGTCATTTTAAAAATTTTCATAAAGATACAAATATTTATTTTTTCAAATAGAAAGGGGGTGGCTCGTCAGCTTTTTCTAAGAGACCATTTTCTTACGAATACTTTGACATAATACACTCTTATTTTATTTTCATTATTTTTCTGAGTAATTGTATGAAACGATCATACTTAACAACAAATAATACGTATCTGCATTCCGGATACCTATGCACTAAGTCCTATTATTCTAGTTATCCGTGACACGTAATTGAAGGTGTTGCTTTCGAAATACAAACGAACCAGAAGAAAATACGAATAGCTTTATAGTCAGTGAAGAAAAAGAAAAGGACGCGTTGCCTATGTTGGAGTAAACTATACAAATGAATTAAATACATATTCTATCTTTATTATAACAACAAATAGAATTCAAATATGTGCCATTAAGGTTCTAAGTGTTCAAAATGGCCTGCTCCTTGATCACGGTAAAGTTCAACTTTATCAATTGTTGCTTGCACCACATTGATTAACTGTTCCGCAGAGATGTTCCGGAATTGCGCCCTTACTTTATGCTCCAGTTCCTTGCGAGTAGCTGACGTAGTTTTATACACCAGTTTTTTAATTGTCCCCCAAAGAAAAAAACTAGCGGAGTAAGATCTGGTGATCTAAAATATGAAAAATAAATTAGACGTTCTGAAAAATATGACAACTTAAGGAAGTACCTCGGAGGCCATTAGTGCCAATCCACTTTTCTGGCAAGGTGTTATTGAGATGTTCTCTTACCGCAAGAAAATTGTGAGGCGGAGACTCAACTTCTTGAAAATAGATATCAACTTGGTGAGCCAGTGGCAAAACTTCAAAGAAGCCATTTGTTTCATTGTTTAGGAACTGTGGATATCTTTCCACAGTAAGGTGTCCATCAAAAATTATTGGCCCCAAAAGTTTTTCTCCGATAATACCCATAGCTCTTGAAAATTTCTTCCTTGCATTAGTCGTGAGTCTGTTTCTGACCAGTACCTTTTATTATTCTATTAAACATAAACAAGTTGGTAAACCGACTTTCGTCTGAATAAATAATTTTAAACGGAAAAAGTTCATCTTCTCTGTATTTAGTCAAAAACCAATTGTAACAAGTTAATCTTCGGTTGTGGTCGTCAACGTAAATATGTTGGTGTAATTCCTGTGGCGACGCGTGACTTTTTCTAAATTGTTACCAAAATAAGTTTATTTTGAACCTCCCAACTATAAGTTTTTGCTTATTTTAGGTATTTTATTTAAACTATTTTTAAATTAAGGTAAGCATTCCTGGACTGAGCGTCTGGGGCACTTGATATACCTCATCGTCTTATGCTATGACTAATCCAAGCCGTCCGAAAAAACAGTCGACGTTTCTAGATGTTCGGAAAGTTTTTGATCTTTTTTGGCAATGAATCTTAACAATTCCCTGTAATTTCCTCTATTGTCAGAGTCATCCCCTTCAAAATGAACGGTAATTCCTGTTTTGACAAAAAACATACGGTGCCTAGAAGTGTGCTGTCTGAAAGCTTGGTTAAGACAACTTTCGATTCTTGTTTTTCCAAACTTTCTCGTTTCTAGGATAGTTTTTACATTAACTAAGTAACAAATAAATTTTTAAAACAGACAATATTTTTAATAACCTCGATTCGGTATTTGTTGAAGTAACTTTAGCAATATCTTCAATTGTTGGTCAAGGATAACTAGAATAATAGGACTTAGTGCCTAGGTTTACCGAATTCAGATACGTATCATTTACATATTCAAAAAAATAGTGAAAATAGAATTAGGGTGTGTAGTATCGTAGAAAAAGCTGACGAGCCACCCCCTTTCTATTTGAAAAAATCAAGTAAACTGAAAAAGTTAGTGTTTCTAACTTTCAGAAAATATTTAAGATGACTGTAAGGTCGTTCGCCTCAAAATCGTATTCTTCTCGTGTTGCTTGATCAAAAATGAAGCGATTTACAGAATCCGTGGCATTCTAGGTCAAAAAATAAAAATTGAAATAAAAATGACTTTATTTGTCAAATATTGACAAGTGAGGCGTGTTGAGTTCAAAATGATATTCTCGATCGAAATAAGTAAAAATATATAGGGTGTACCATTTAAAAATCGAAAGTTGTAATCGTTTCGAGTCAAACTGGAAGTAGGTCAAAGGAAGTGAATATGTCAAAAAATGTAAATTCATCCATGATAAGCAACACCCAAATTTCGTTATTCTATGTTCAATAATAAAAATGTTATAGGGGTGAACCACCTTATAGAATCACCCAGTATAACCTACCTCGTATCGCTTAGTTTGTTTTGAGCTGGTAAAGGCGAAAGCCGAACTGTGAATACTCGTATAATGTGTAATTACAGTAAGGCCCGTTTTTTAGTTGTAGAATGACTGGGATTTTAAAGGTAACGAGCAGGGGTATTATGTGAAAAACCTAAACAACATAAAAAACGACTAAATGTCATCTTGCAGACGTGTTTACTAGCTTGTGCTAAGCTAACATCTTGTTAAAAAACCTACGCTATGGCATAAAAAACCTACAAAATGTCAAAAAACCGACAAAATGTCACTTTTCAAGATACGTAATACCCGTGCATGAGTTGCCGCGAATGATACGAGACACAAACATCGAGCGTCGTAAAACGCGTATGACAGAAAAACAGAAATGGGTTGGTAAGCCAGAGCTTGAGAAGCGAATTTATGGACAACTAATAGTTGAGACAAGTTACAGTTACCAAACTTGACAGTTAACCAGCGATTGAAAAAACGGACCTTAGTAAATATACTTTCTTATTTTTAGCAAATGTTGAACACAATAAAATCTTTCAGAAAAGACATGAAAGAGACAGATATATCTATAGTAATTGTGATGAGTCATGGTACCAATACTAATGAAAATCAACTAGCAGTTTCTGGAGGATACACGGAGATCTTAGGAGTGGATGATCAAGGGTTACCTATAGATGAAATTTTGGATGAATTTGCAAGCGATAAGTGTTCGGATCTTATCGGAAAGCCAAAAATTTTCTTCTTCCAATGTTGCAGGTATGAAGATCTTTAATGCTAAAACAATAAATTCAGGCTCTGATATGGAGTGACCCTGTAACGACGTACATTTTTTAAAATCGAGGTGAAGACGTAAGTATACATTTAGGAGTCTCGGTAGCTCGGTGGTTTGCGCTTTTGGCTAGCAACCCAGGGCTCGCGGGTTCGAATTTCCGCATCGGAAGGTAATTCCATGCCATGAATGTTGTGTTGTGTGTTGTGTATATTACGCACGTGGGTGCTTCGTCTATTCATCAGCTCCTGGCAACCTGAAGGAGTGTTTAGCAGTGCAGACGTTTGTGGATGTCATTTGGCCTGCGCGTTAGAATTTGAAAGAAGTATCTGGAAGCCATGCCCGAGTGGGGGTGGTTATTGAAGAAGCGAAAGAAGCTTACCCTAGTCAGCAAATCTTCGAAGCACTGGTCAACAAAAAGGCAGCGACGCAATGCTCATCTCGTCCCGTTGTTGTGTGGAGAAGAGGCAGCAACAGAGGTTTTTTCTTGGAGTACCCTCCAGTCACCGTAAAGAGCGATGCGTGCATTTATAACACCGCGGCGAACACATGAAGACACGAAGATCATCATGTTTTTCCTCTGCACAAAAAAAAACAATAAAAGAGGGTTTGCTGACGCAAAATACTCGAGCTATACGCCGCAGGAACTGTAGAGAGTTGGGTCATCTTCGCAAAGAATGTAACTGGCCGAGAAGAACAGCTGAGGAGAGAGGTCCAACTCAGGTCGTCGAGAACTAGCCGCCATCAGCACCCCCATGATTCTGTGCTAGTGGCTTCAGTACGTCACCAGGATGGAGGAATCAACCTCAGGGCATATGTATTCCTGAAGTGAAAACATATGCCCATCACAACTGGATACGTGTGTAACCTGAAGAAAAACAAGGAACGAAATAGCCACCAACAAGAGCCTGCAGGCACACTTATGGCTTTTGTCAGAAGACATTGTGTTTACGAGGCATTAAGTAACATCGCCATGGAGCTACCTGTCATGGTACTTTAAGCCCATGAGTAAATGCAAAGAAAGACCAGTGGTTTTGCAGAAAATTAGATGAAAAACAAAGGACACTCTTGGGCATGTCAGCAATAAAGGAACAGGGGCAAAAATAGAAGGATTGGAAGTATCCTTTGTTTTTCACCTAAGTTTTTCGCAAAACTACTTGTCTTTCTTTGTTTTAACATCTCAGATCAGTAACCGAAACTTCGCGGTCGGCTCTTGGACTATTGCTGTTTACAAATAAAAATTGCGGCGATTTATGTGCCGTACTTAGCTTGGTGATTTGCTTATGGATGGCTCTGCATGTACCGAGGCGATGTTGCCAAACTGCCATAAAATATTTATAAAACGCCACATTTATACTAAGCTGAATGGAGTTTAGCTCTTATCACGTTTTTGATGGCACCTGCAGAGTTTAGAAGAGGTGTCTGTAGGCTCGGAGGTAAAAACTTAAAATTGAACTCGGAGAAATGCAGTCGGTTTGAAATCTCGGCTGGACCTTTGGAAAGGTTCGAAAGCGGCTTAACTAAGTAAACTGCTCGGAAGACGTCAGGTAGTGGTGCCGGCAATTCACAACGTGTTCTGCGAGCAATGCGACCGCTGTGGTAGTCGTAAGCCAAGATGAAGGAGTATAAATTAGGCAGCCCATTTGAGAGGATAGCCATCGACATGTTGGGGCCGTTTTCCGCATCGGAGAATGGGAACAAATACATTCTGGTTGCCATGGACTACTTCAGTAAGTGGGTCGAGGCGTACGCTATCCCCAACCAAGAAATTGCCATAGTTGAAGAAATTCTGGTTGATGACATTATCAGCCGATTTGAAGTCCTGCTAGAGCTGCACTCCGACCAGAGGAGAAACTTCGAGAGCGAGCTCTTTAAAGGAATCTGCGAGAAGCTGGGTATCAGGTGTTACACCCCCAATCGGACGCATTGGTAGAAAGGATAAACCGGGCCGTGTCAAAGGTGGTGTTCAGCTACCAAGGTGATTGGGACAGTTATCTCCTCATGTTCCTGATGACGTATCGGGCTGCAGTCAACGAGTCAACGGGCCAGAACCCTGCGAAAGTGTTGTTCGGGCGTAAGGTCCGGCCACCTTCTAACATGCAGTTTGGAAGTTTCAAGAAGAAGTGGTCTTAAGGAGGGAGTAGAATAACGCCCTAGTAACTGGAATTCTGAGCAACAATGAGACACCCTCGTAACATCGACGCCTAGGCAACGAATTACGAGACCACACATCGTCAACGTTCGCCACGCATCAAGAAACATGTACCGCTATCTACAAGGCGTCGATGAAGACTCGACTTATATCGAAAGCGCGGGTATACTTTGGGATTCGAAGATAAATACACGCACAGAGGGCAACGTCGACCGATAGCGGATGCTAAGACAGCAGCGCAAAATTCGACCTACTGATAAATTTGTAATAAATTAGTGCGAGGGTAATAAATTAGACTTTAAATAGTAAAAACGATGTTTTCTCTACAACATTTACCTTTGGCATCCTTTTATCTGTCTCTTATTCTTTTTTTACTAGGTGATACCTTGTTCACCTGTACATGTATTCCTCCCAAATGAATTGTGACACATAACCCAGTTTATTTTGACTGAAAATAGTCACTAACGTATTCCACACTATTCAGGTTGATACCTACCGATCATCCCTTTTATACCACAACAAAGGCAACACCCACACAACAATATAATGAAAATAATACAAGCAAATTTGGTGCAGAGAGGCACACGATATGCTTGACCAATTTGCAAAGGAAAATTTGATAGAAGTTGCTCTGGTATCGGATCCAAATAATACAAAGTGGTCCATGAAAATAAGACGCAGATGGGGATGCAGCAATTAGCATATACGAGGGATGCCTTTTGAGTTTTGCATATGGAAATAAAGCAACACGGTAGGTAGTTTTAAATAACTTTATCGTTTTTCGAAGTATTCTCCACGAAGATTAATACACATCTGCATGTGCTCGAACCAATTTTCGAAGCACTTATCCCACTCGTTTGCTGGCAGATCCAAAAGGGCATTTTTGAATGCGTCAACTGCTTCTTCTGGTGACTGGAACCTTTGACCACGCAGTCTGTTTTTAATTTTCGGGAAAGTAAAGAAATCGTTAGGACTTAGATCGGGACTATATGGAGGATGGTGTTTTCTTTTCTTCACCGTGGAACACCCAAACAGCCGACTGTCGCTTATTTTCTGGTTCATAACACTAAATCCATGATTCATCACTAACAATCCTGTACACATTTTTTGAGATTCCGGAATTGAATCGGTCAAGCATTTTTTGACACCAATTAACCCTGGCTGCTTTCTGCTCTTCGGTCAACAGGTGGGGTATCCAACGAGAAACTAATTTTCTTACTCCTAATTCTTCATGTACATTTTTTTGAATTTTGAGATCTTCAAGGACGCCTCAATCTCGCAATATGTCACATGTCTATCTTCAATGATCAGTTTTTTTTCCTGGGTGACTGCCGTTTTTGGTGCACCCACCCTGTGTTCGTCGCTAAGAATCACCCGTCTACGTTTGAATTCTCCATACCAACGGGAAAAAGACAATAACTCAGCAAGGCATTCTTGTTGCGATAATTGTCTCTGAAAGTTGTAATAAATTATGGCGCGAAAATGTTCTCGGCTGAGTTCCATTTTTCTAATGACTTGGTGACACTTAAAAATTCACTGTAGTGATAACACTGCACGTATTCTTGTGAAACTTCGAATTTAAGTTTACTGAAGAGTAAGGTTAAGATTCAGTACTGACGTTCGATCCGCGTGGCCTACTATGTTTCAATATGCAAAACTTAAAAGACATCCCTCGTATAACCAAACATCGGAGGGAAGAGGATGCATACAAAAAAGAGGATGGTAAAGTGAGGGGAGCAAAGTACTGGTGGAATAATGGAATAGCAAAAGAGAAAAGAATGCCTCACTATCAGACGTAAAATAACCATAGAAAACAGAAAGTATCACAGAACAAACGGAAACAAGGGACAATCGTCTGGAGCTGGTTTGGTTCTCATCTCTAAACTTCTGAAAACCACCGTTAGGGAAGTCAAATAAAGACCTGTGTATGCTGGCCTCCCTAGGAAAGCTACTATAACGGCAGAAAAAAGGTAGGATAATAAAATACGTTGAAGAAAAAACGGACTGTCTCCTTCACAATATGGATTTAGGAAGGGAAAGTGTACCATAGCCGCCTTAGTGCTAACAGAAGCAACCAATAACGGCAACTACAGTCGCTTTACGTTATAGATGCCTTCAACACGGCACAATGGCAACAAATTGTGGGATATCTCGAGAAGCTAGGTACCCCTAGCTATATATTGAACATAATAAATAGCTATTTCAATCAAGGGACGCTTATGGTACGATAACAGACAATGAAGGCCAGAGGGCTCCGCTTAGGGCCATTGCTTTGGAACCTCTTCTACGACGGGGTCCCTCGGCTACAGATACTTCCGCGAATTCGCTTGTTAAGTCGCGTACACATCTGGGGAACGCATGTGGCCGAAGCCTTTCGACCGAACGCCGTCGGTAAATGTGTACGACCTAACAAACGCATGTGTTTGCCTTCGCGAGATTTCGGTCACTGGGCGGTACATCAAAAGAAAATTGAAGAACGAATTCGTTTGGCTGTGTTTAGTGTGTACGCTTTTCAGTTTTTAAGTGTCTCATCGTGGTCATTTTGTTTTGAGTTTCTATTTAGTGATAATGGAGTGGACTAATTCCTCTTGTTTAAAACTTATTGGTTTATATCGAGAACGGGAAGTTTTATGGAATCCAGTGCATAAAGATTACAAAAATAAAATAAAGAAAATGGATGCCTGGAACGACATCAGCAAAATTATGAAAGGCGATACAGGGGAGGTCAAAAAGAAAATGGAATCTTTATTAACATCATTCCCACGTGAGAGACAAAAACAAGATAGCTCGTTTAAATTTGGCTCAGGAACCGACACAATTTTTAAATCTAGCTGGTTCGCTTTCAAAGAAATGCTTTTCTTGATGGACAAGTTTATACCAAAAGACACTAAAAACACTGAGGTAAATATTTATTTTTTTATCAAATAAAATAAAATAGGGAGATTTGTACGACCTCAGTGTATAGGCAGTAATAAGACAGAAGATTATAATTAGCCGACTAATTTCTACGCATGTGAATGTTGCCAACTCACGCTACCTTCGCCCATAAAATATGTAGCAAATTCATTTCTAATTGCTTCACAATTTGCCGAACTTTTTCGACCTATCTTAGGTATTGGAAGAAAGGACTCTGCATTTTTATTTTCGCTTCCCTGTCTCCATTGTCCAGGAATGATTTTTCCTTCTTTCTCATCATCAAATGTTCCTGATGGAGTATAAGTGTTGCGAGAATGTTTACTTTTCCTTAGGAAGTTATGTAAATAGATACATGCTAAAACTACCAAAGTTGCTTTTTCAGGTGATACTAGCATCACTTTTCTCAAAACTCTAAAAACAGCTGACATGATGCCGAAAACATTTTCAACAATACGCCTGGCTCTACAAAGTCTATAGTTAAAGATACGTTTCTTAGAACCTTTTTTTTGTTCTACTGGATACCCCTTCATTAAATGCTCACTAAGGCTAAATGCATCGTCTCCTGCAAATACACAAGGAACTTTCACATGTCTATTAGGTAGAATGTCATCAGGTGGTAAATGGAGCTCATTGTTTTGCAATTTTTTCCAGAATATAGAGTTTTTTAGCACACCTCCATCTGAAATCCGACCTTGGCAGCCAACATCAGCAAACAAAAAGCAATAATTTGGATCAGCAACTCCCAACAAAACTATACTAAAATTTCCTTTATAATTGAAATAGTCGCTGCCACTGTGTATGGGTGCCTGAAGTACGCAGTGTCTGCCATCTATGGCACCAAGGCAGTGAGGAAAATTCCATAGAGCTTCAAACATTTCCGCAACATATCGCCATTCGTAAAAACAAAAAAAAACGTTAGTGTAAAAAAACATGAAACCAAAATTTTTTCAGGAGTTGATTCGACCAAGGAATCAATATCAAGAAGAGGAGGATGAGAAGGAAGAGGAAGAAGACATGGCCAACAATGACATAGCTGTTGACGAAATTAATAATGACACGCAAGTAACAGAAGTACCAGAACGAATAACCCTCAAAAGAAAATCAAATTTTATATCTCCCAAGAGGGTCAAACGGGTACCATCTGTGGCTTCTGTGAATCAAGGAGCAACCAGTGCTATCTCTAGAGGGCAAGAAGCATACCAAATATTACAAGAAACACTTGCAAGTAAAAAAACAAGAGACGGTAGCACAATTTTTGGAGAACATGTTGCTGCAAAGCATAGAAAATACAGCGCGCATACACAAAGTGAAGTGGAACATCTAATTGGAGATATTCTGTATAAGGCTGATAAGGGACTTTATGAACCACACGTGTCCTCAATCAGTTCCATTAGCCACAAACAATATTATTTATCTCAACCCAATCAACAAATTTATACGAGTATCACGCCTAGTACAACACCCAATTCATATAATCAATATGCTTCAGACACTCAAAGCATCAGTACTCCTTTACCATCACCTTCAGAATCAGATGGTCCACTGAATGAAAATGAGTCTTTTTTGTCGGCGACCCCATCAAACCTGACGTTACAGGAAACTGATAATCCGAAGACACCCATTATACGTTTTATAAATGCATTTACAGATAGTCTTTAAGGCATTTTTTGTTTTTTTTATATAAACCCTAGACTTTTTAATAAATACCTAAAGCATATTATACATAACTATTGAACTCACCTTAACGTATTCTTGTAGCGTCTCAATTATAGCAGAGCAAACTTCTGGTATTATCCTTGAAATGAGTTGTTTTGAAATTTTAAAAGTATACATTAAACTTGTATATGAGTCACCAGTAGCTAAATATCGTAGGGTTAACATTAACCTTTCTGTTGACGGTATTGCTTCTCTAAACTTTGTATCTTGTTTCGCGATTTTTGGACCGATTTCATTTAATAACCATTCAAAATCAGTAGACTTCATTCTACAAAAATTTACAAAAAGTCCGTATTCCATTTCAGCTTTTAGATCACTAATTAAGTCCATCCCTCTATACCGACTTCTGCTTTTGAACAATGATGTTGTCCACCAGCGCCGTTTTCGTCGTTTCTTGGGGGGCTCTTTCAATGCTTCGGTCTCCGCCTCACTAATAATAATATACAACGCACTTGCAATAATTATATCCTCAACATCGGACGCCATTTTTTACCATTTACAAAAATACCAGCGAACCTCGACGAATGACTGCAAACGAATTCGTTCACCGTAATGTGGACGGCAGAGCAAATTTTCCATCGAACGTCGAAATCATCGAATGAATTCGATCGAAGAGCTTCGGCCACATGCGTTCGCCAGATGTGTACGCGCCTTTAGGGTATGCTGACGACCTGGCGATGATAGTCACTGGCAAAGCGAGATGTAAACTAGAATAGCTTTTGGCAAATGGAATCATTATAATTACAATCTGTATGGAACAAAATGGCTTCGAGTTTAGCTCTTGAGAAGATGGAAGTGGTTATACTTTCTGGCAGACATAAGCTAACTTTACTAGCTTTTAAGGTTAATAATGCAGAGATTCGATGCCAAAATGCAATTAAGTACCTGGTTGGGTGGTTCGACAAAGATTTGAAAACATAATGCGTACCACTGATAAGGTAAATAAAGTAGCTGCATCCTTGATATGGATACTACCATCTGATGAAGGCCCCAGTAGTGAGAGGCGTATTATTTCAGCAGGGGGGTCAGAAGCCCTCGAGGAAAAATAAATATAGGCCTCTGATACTATACAGAAGCCAGCAAAAAGTGTTGCTGCGCGTGGTCTGTGCTTTCAGAATGGTGTCGACCAACGGACTGCTGGTGTTTGCGGGTATTCCGCCAATTGATTTGCTGACTGAGGAGAGATGCACGTACTCGATAAAAAGGGCGCCGAAGCTAGAAGCGATGAAAGAGAGGCGCTTTTTGTCAGATGGCGAGAGACATGGGATGCAACTGGCAATAGTGCATGGACTAGAAGGCTGATTCAGGATATTAAAACTTGGATTGACAAGGGAGCGGTGCGGATAGATTACTATACTGTACAGTTCCTCACAGGACATGGTTTTTTGACAGCTACCTGAAGAGGGTAGAAAAGAGAGCGTACGCGAGCTGCATATATTTCAAGAAAGAGGATCCCCCTACACATATACTCGAATGTGGTAGATGGGTTGATTACCAGAGGCAGCTGGTATTGGCGCTCGGAGAGGGGCTTACTGTCGACAATTTTGCCAGGCATGTAGGCGATGGCACGTGGGTTGATGTTCAACTAATAGTAGTAATAGATCAAGGAACCAAGAATAGGTTCCTACTTGCCAGGTTGTGCATATCTCGTGGCCATATCGTAAAATTGACCATTTCATGAAATGCATTATTATCTATTGGCCAGGTCGTGATGTGCGTTGACCAAATCAATGATAATAAATTGTTCAACTATACAGGGTGTTTTCAAAGTTGAGTCATTTATTTTAACTGCTTTCAGGACTCGTCAAAAGGATTTGATATATTAAAAATCACCTATATAAAAGTTGCATAATAAAAGAAATAGTAAAAGACTGAAAATAAGATAGTTATTATACAGATTCTTTGATATTCTCGACCACTGCCGTGTAAAATCTTAGCGCTTTTTGTTTACTACTCTTATCGTTTATCTAAATCTGGCAAACTTTTTGTGTTATTGTATTGTTTTAAGTACGAGTTTTTGGTTCGATCAGTTGTAACAGCCTTTTAATAGTGCGTATACTTTCATTTGTTTGAGAATTTTGTGCGAAAAATGGCGCTTGTTTACGGAAACATTGAACTAGTGGATATAATACTAACATACTGAGATTGCCAACAATATGCAGCCGCAGCATGACGGCTGTATGCTGAAAGTTTCCTTTAAGAAATCATCCGGCGCCATGAATCTTTATAAGTTTATTTATTAGACCTCGTGACACAGGATATTGAAAAGAATAATGAGGTCACACTGGAAGACCTGCTCAACCTGAAATATTACAAATTGAGGGAGACATTTTAGAAATGGTCGGAGACGACCAAACAATGAGTACTAGAGCCATAGCAGCTCAAGTTGAAGTTTCTCATAGTGAAGTGTGGGTAGTAAAAAATTCACATGCTGTAAAAAGAGCGATCGGTGAAATTTATTTAGATATTCCTCGACACAATCTGCCACAATTATTAGATGTTCCTCTAAATGTGAGACAGAACATATGGTTCCTACATGATGGGGCTTCACCACATTTTAGACGAGAAGTTCATCAACATCTAAATAATGAGCTTCCGAATAGACGGATAGGGCGCAATGGTCCCATTTCTTGGCCTGCTCGCTCCCCGGATTTAATGCCTTGCGATTTTTTCTGTAGGGCTATTGGAAAAGTTCGTGTATCATGATGGAGCAATAAATACGAGTTCTACAAGCTGTTAAAATAAATGGCTCAACTTTGAAAACACCCTGTATGATGAGGTAAATGCTGAACTACTTCTTGAAATGGTCAAGCTTGGTTAATCAAATCGTAAAATAATTATATTAATTGCCGATAGATACGCTGGGAGGGCTTTGTTTACATTTCAACATGGCTGTCGTTCATAGCAAAGTTGTTTTTCGGAGTACCCATCCTAATAATCCGTTCAGTTTCAGTTTTAGTTGAGATACGTTGTGTGATTTGAGATTGTTTTAATATAATTATTATATTTTAGTTTTAATAAAAATGCTTAACATACTTAAATAATAATAAACGAGTTCGTAACATATTCTGAATTTTTACTAAGTATTGTATGGACACCATATTTTACGATATGATCAATCGTGGATGACCAAATCGTTGAACGTTGACGGCTTAACGATAATGCCAAATTTGGTCAGTTCTACGATATGGTCATTAAATATGTACGTCAATATACAGGGTGACTTTGAAGTTGAGTCATTAATTTTCAGATAATGATTGTAGAAGGAAGATAAACCAAAATATGTGTGTACAAATAAAAAAAATAAAAAAAAAAATTTTACCTTGTTTTATAAAGTATCCTCCCGACAAGTATTTCAGTGCGGACCTGTATTTGATCGTGAGGTACCCTGTGAGGTCTTAAGTCACCTGATTCACGAGCCCGTTGTACTACATTAACAAAGGCACGAGGGGTTGGTTGCACTCGATTGGGAAACCGATCCGCATAAACATGTGCCATTTTTTATTTCGTTTGAGCCACGCAACAGACACTATTCACACGCGACACTGACACTGACTGTATGTATAACTGAACTGAATAAAATAATAAACTGTACACAAACATCGTTCCAAATTCTTTCGCTTTTTTGTTTCCGATGCGATGAACCGGTAAGGCGGATTATATCCGTTGTTGCCAAACACGAGCACATGATATTGAGACAGGGCGGTACTCAAACTTCCAAAGGGCTATAACTTTGTTACTTTAATTTTACCAGAAAAATGGTAAAGGAAAAAAACATTTCTTTTGATCAGATCTATTCACTGTTAAAATAAATGACTCAACTTCGAAGTCACCCTGTATATGTAACGAATGACTGAAGGGTTTTAATGAGTATGCTGCATTTCTGGAGAATCTCACTCTTCAGGCAGGAAAGGACGATACGGCAATACCATCGAGTTTATTTGTATGAGAAGGGCTTTAAAAGATATCCCCTGTCAAAAAAATACATTTTATGTCTTCATCAGTATGCCGGAAAACACATTTCACAATTCCTCAGTAATTTTTCAACACAGAAGGTTCAAATTTGGAAATTGGCTATAAAAATAGTTTTGTGTTTCTGAAACTATTAGATTTCACAAAAAAGTTACGGTTTGCAAGATAATATTTTTTTGACCAAAATTTTCACTGTTAAAAATAGTTTCTTCCCGAAATCAGCAATTTTCATTTGATTATAAAGACGAAAAACTGCATTAAAATCGGTCAGCGATGAAGCGGGATATCTTGGAACGACGTTTGCGGTAATGCTCTTAATTATATGAAATATATAAAAATATATTTCTATATATATATATATAAATTACTATATTCCCAAGTCGTAGACAATTATATGCTCTATAACTTGCTAAATATCAGCAAATGATATATAATGCAAATTAATAATGTATTTTTAAAAAACCGGTTCTCTGAGCCAAGTTATAGAAAGTCAAAATAAAGGTTCAAGAAAACTTCCGGCACCCCATTCTAGGCACCCTCAGGGGGGGGCTGTGAAATTTGCATATTCAGCATTGCCAAATCTTTGCTACCTGCCGGTCTCAAAAAATCTTTGGGAGCTGATATATAATTATAACATACAAAGAGTTTTCTCTTGTTTAATCCCCTCCCCCTGAGAAAAATTTCTGTTAGCGCCCACGTCCCCTATTGTTGTAGATATATTCGATGGGCTATTGACTTACCCATAACTAGATGGATGAAAACAACGATGGAGAGGTTCAATTAAAGATTATCAACACGAGGTCACGTTCTCGTTAAGCCACTTGTGAGCTTCTAGATCCAGTTAGATAAGTTATTCATAACCAGTTTTATGGATTTAAGCACCAAATTTCCATGTTTTTTTAGGGGTACACAGTACGAAACATTAGCAACGGACACAAAACCAACAGTAGTTTACAAAAGTCATGCTGACATGTTGATCGCACATTCAACGCTACCAG